AGTTTCAATGGAATTACAGTTGTTCCGCGTGAACAGAATATGTATGCATCATCAATTTGTTTTGGTTTCAATTTCGATTATTTTGTTTCATAAAAAGGGTCGTCTACCTGTTAAGTGGACTGCTTATGAAGCTTTGTTATTTGGAACATACACAACACAAAGTGACGTGTAAGTATATTACACCTTTTAATATTACTTTTTCCATGGTTATCTGTTTCTTAGAATAATTGACCCCAATTAGTTTACAATGAAGCCAATTCAATTGAGACATGTAGCCTTACTCAAATTTTCTTAGAAACTCTGTAACCAAAAAGAATACCTCGTTTTCCAAATTTTGCACTGATTTCTGTAGCCTAGAGTCACGATTTCTTTAGAAATAGGAATTTAATTTCATTTTACTTATAAAAGAACAATTGTTAAGAGAGTGAAACACTTATAAACCTAACTAACTTCGCAGTTCCTAGGTAATCAGTATTTGTATCTGTTCTAATGTCACTTAGTATAAACTATTTTCTTTTCCTCTCAGTTGGAGCTATGGTGTCCTGTTATACGAGATTCTCACAGTAGGTAAGTTAAATTGCAAATCACGTTTGTGGTCCAAATATTTTCTATTGTTTCATTTCAGGATCAAAAATGCGTGGACAAATGTGGAACACTGATATTCAAGTTTGGTGTTTACCAATTGGACATAACCCTCAGTTTGTCTACGTCACGTGACGTGTTTAAACCAATCCCATAGCAGAAATGTCTGATTATTATTATTATTATTATTATTATTATTATTATGTCTGACCGCGCAATGTTAGAATCAATGAAAAATCGTGTCCTACTATGAGATAGTAGCTTCGTAATGTTCCTGAATAAGATTTACATTTGAACCATAACAATCGCAAAACCCTAACCTTAGCTTTAAAAATAATCAATGCCATTTGGTTGTGGAAACTCATCGCGAGTTGTGACGGAACAAATGGTGGTTGCAAACAACCACCAGTGCATACTTTTTCTGAAAAAGGAGTTTTTTTCTTGTGTAAGCGCAATAAATAAATCACTCTCACTTATTTAGGTGGATCTCCATATCCTGGAATTCACGCTCGACAAATCGCCAGGAAACTTCAGGAAGGATTCAGAATGCCAAAGCCTAAACATGTGGACAANGTGAAACACTTATGAACCTAACTAACTTCGCAGTTCCTAGGTAATCAGTATTTGTATCTGTTATAATGTCACTTAGTATAAACTATTTTCTTTTTCTCTCAGTTGGAGTTACGGTGTCCTGTTATACGAGATTCTCACAGTAGGTAAGTTAAATGGCAAATCACTTTTGTGGTCCAAATATTTTCTATTGTTTCATTGCACGATCAAAAATGCATGGACGAATGTGGAACGCTAATATACAAGTTTGGTGTTTACCAAATGTACATAACCCTCAGTTTATCTACGTCACTTGACGTGTTTAAACCAATCCCATAGCAGAAATATCTGATATCCGTAATCACTGCCCAATGTCTGACCACGCAGTGTTAGAATCAATGAAAAATCGTGTCCTACTATAAGATAGTAGCTTCGTAATGTTCCTGAATAAGATTTACATTTGAACCATAACAATCGCAAAAACCCAATCTTGGCTTTAAAAATAATCAATGCCATTTGGTTCTGGGAACTCCTCGCTAGTTGTAACGGAACAAATTGTGGTTGCAAACAACCACCAGTGCATACTTTTTCTGAAAAAGGATTTTTTTTTTCTTGTGTAAGCACAATAAATAAATCACTCTCACTTATTTAGGTGGATCNAGATAGTAGCTTCGTAATGTTCCTGAATAAGATTTACATTTGAACCATAACAATCGCAAAACCCTAACCTTAGCTTTAAAAATAATCAATGCCATTTGGTTGTGGAAACTCATCGCGAGTTGTGACGGAACAAATGGTGGTTGCAAACAACCACCAGTGCATACTTTTTCTGAAAAAGGAGTTTTTTTCTTGTGTAAGCGCAATAAATAAATCACTCTCACTTATTTAGGTGGATCTCCATATCCTGGAATTCACGCTCGACAAATCGCCAGGAAACTTCAGGAAGGATTCAGAATGTCAAAGCCTAAACATGTGGACAACAAACTGTGAATAAATATATCCTGTTATTCAATTTATTGGGAATTATCGTGTTATATATTTTTGAAAAGTCTTGCTGTATTTTGGCAAGCTAACAAGGCGAGTCAAAGCCCCAAAGAGTGTCACAGTTGCACTGTGGTAATGTTAATTAAAATGTTTGATAAGTTATTGCATTGATTATTTGCAAGTAAATATCTGAAAGGTCATATATTTGAACTGCGATGATCATTGATGTCTTCAAATTGATTATTTGTATTGATCGTACGTGGGGTTGCCCGTGTAAGCCAAGCCATAAGGCGTCTTTCCCTTTATTGTGGTTGATTTTTTTTTATTATTTATTAGATACCAGATTATGCTCAAGTGCTGGGAAGAAAATCCAAGTGATAGGCCAACGTTTGCCAAACTAAAAGACACGATGAAAGAAATGGAGGGAAATCACAGGGTAAGTAAGGGTAATCAAATGGTGACGTTACTCTTTAACGTTTTTCTCATTTTTGTTTATTTTTTGGCATAACCAATAATTTCTAAATGAAGAGGTTACTTGTATATGTCATGCAACTTTTATTTATGGCAGCTTAGTAATTACATTAACTGCCCTTCTTTTGCAGACGTACGTCAATCTCAAACAGTATGACA